CTCCCCAGGGAAGTGGTCATAGCACAAACCTGACAGAGTTTGAGAAGCAACAACACTCTCAGGCACACAATTTGACTCTTGAGATGTCCTGCATGGGGCCAAAAGTTGAACTCCATGATCTTGATGGGTCCTTGCCAGCTCAGCATATTCTCTGATTCTATGAATTCAGTAGGGTAAAGGTGGTGGTTTTGGCCAGTGTCTGATCATGTCATTTGACATGCATCCAGATGTGTGCTGGCTGTTTCTCACAGCATGTTGGAGAACTCTCACACACATATATCTAAACTCAGGTTTCAGAGGTGAGTCAGATCAACCTGAGGCATTGGATGTTGTGACCTACATTCTCCCTGGGTGTAATTTCTGTGGGAAAAAAATTATTGTGTAGATAGATATGTATCTTTAATTTTCAGACATTGTGACAAGACTGTTTTCAGCAGGGCAAAATGCATTTTGCCCATAGTCTGGTCTGTAACTGGAGTTTCATCTGGTGCTCCTGGGAATGCCAAATCTCACATCTGATCTGAAATGCCAATGAATCCATATGAAGCTGTTAATGTTTGTGTGAGGTTTTTTAGTCCTCATTACCAACCTGATAGAAAGATAATTCCTCAGCTGCTGTTCCAACCTGTGGGATTTTATCCACTTAATTAATTTTCTTTCTTGTTAAAAAAGATCTCTTTGTGCACAAGGAGCTGTGCTTGACTTGCTTTTCAGAGACTCTTCTCGTGTCTGTATCAAAGGCACAGAGGCCCCAGAAACTGGAGGGTGAGCCCTAGGGGCAACATGCTTGTGGAGGCTGAGCTTGGAAACCCTGCCCTGTGTGCTGAGGGCAAGCTCCTGGAGGGGAGTTGAGTCTGCAGAGTGGAGGGGGGATCCTGGTTCCTTCCCTGCTCTCCCCGTTTGCTACCACTCAGCAATAAAATGGAAGCTAGTGACACGACCAAAGGATAACAAACCACTTGCTGAATGCCTGCTGAGAGTTTGAAATGCCAGCCTACACCACCCTCCCCAACCTTTCAGCATGTCAGCAAGCTGCCTATGTAAATAAATACCCATATCAAACAATAAGCAGACGCCTTTTTAACGTGCACTATTTCAGGCTGAGATACTCAGTTCTGGTGCAGCTCATCTCAACATCTGTCAAGCTAATGCCAGCTCCACAGCTCCCTTTCACTTGTATTTAATGCACAAAGATTTGTGTTGTGTTAAGTAATGAGGAATTGGCTTGCTTTACATCTGTTTTGGTGTTATTTCTGATGCAAAGAATGTTAAACAGGAATGCTTTGTGTTCTTCCTCATGTCAGTATGTACTGCAAACTCTGTTGCTTATGCTTGATTAAGTGGCTTTATACAACCGTGTGTGTGGTTGTACAAGTATACAAGGAGGAAAAAAATGTCATTTGCAAAATATACCACCACTGGGGCCCCAAAGCATAGAAACATTGAGGTAGGGAGAAAGCTATGACGAGGGTTGGATTTAAAATAAAATTTTTTTAGAACCTAAATTCCAGTAGGGTCAGTTGTGCCCCTTAAATCAAGCTCAGGAGCCACAGAGTCTACAGCCCCAAGGGTGTGGGGCTCAGTGCAGGGCTGTGGGAGCAGCACCCATGAGCTGCTAGTCCAGGTCAGGTCATGCCTAATCCAGGGTCTTGTCTCTGATAGCAGCCAGCACTGATTAGAGACAATGCAAGACCAGGGCAACAACCAGGAGAAATTCCACGGTAAGCTTTTGTTTATTTTTGTTTTCATATTAAAAATGTATTGAGCCCAGATGATTTATAGTCCACTGGGCCTGCTCCTCTATTGAAGATTCACCTGCAGGCTAGAGGAGTGTTGGATCCTCTAGTGCTGCTGTCCATCTCCGTCCCTCTGCATCAACATTGCAGAAGAAGCCTGCTTTTTATTTTCTTTATTCACATTTCTCACATGCTCCTGCTTTTGCTCTGGTGAGATACTAAGGAATCACATTTTTTAAAAAAAACCAAACAAGACAGACTCCTTATGCATGCAACAAGTCTTTAAGACAGCTCTCTATCAGACTTTTCTGCAGTCTGCTGAAAGAAAGGAGAATATTCCTGCTGCCTGAGACACTTTGAATTAGATTACATATAAACAAAGCAGGGGGAAGAGGAGAGGCATGATCCTCCACTGGAGAGGAGGATTTATATGACTTGATATATCTTGTGTTTCTTAATGTTCCTTGAATAGACATGATTGAAATCTCTCACCTGAGCAAGCACACACAGAAAACAAAATATATTATTAGTGACCCTAAATATATTAGAGCCCTGCTTCTGATCACAATGGTGCATCTGCTGGAATAGTAATAGGAGATGAATGGGGTATGCCTACGTGGACATGGACTGTTCTTCCATAATGGAAAGGGAAAATTGCTACTAAAAATGCCACTGAATCAAAATTTTGATGACTCTGTATGCCTGCCTGTGACACGTTCCTTCTTGTTGTTTCAGATCACTTTACAAACTGGAATAAACTTTTTTTTCCCTCACTATTTTGAAAGGCTGGGAGTTAATATCCAATACCTTACATCTGAAAGGACTAGGACTGTCTTCAATAGGATATGTTTTTGTTAGGCAGCAGGCACTTTGTCCTGTGCAGAAGTGTATGGATGTGCATTTTCTACATACAAGCACTTGCACCTCTCAAATATTTGCCCTTCCCCTTCAAAGAAACCAGGATGTGGCTGGTATGTGTGTATTTGAAATGCCAGGTTGTACAGAGCAGAGAAGAGTCTTGTAAACAAGCACCCATGGGAGGATGAACCACACCTGAAAGTGCTGAAAGAGTCCAACAGGCATGGAGAGCATCTGCCCAAGTACCATTTGGTGGGCCCTTGCTCTGCTCACTAGACCATGCTGCTCCTCTATTGCGTGTAAGATGAACGTCCAGGGCGCAGAGCACTCCTCACCAATGCCCCTGTGTTCCCACTAATCCCTCTCTCTCTCATCCCAGGGAAGTGTGGAATAACACCTCTGCACTGGGGAGCAGGGAGCTGCTGACAGAGGGCTGATACCCTGTGCGTGGGAGGAATTTCCTTTCATGTGGTCTGGTGTGACATTGGCACTTTCCAGCTGGCTCGTAGGTGGCTTTGTAATCCCTGGATTGACAAATGGCAGTTCAGCTCAGTATGGCTGTCATCTTCAGACAGCATGACACAGAAGGGGAGCTTGACATGTCCTGCTGCAGCCCTGTCTCAGTGTCTTATGGGGCTGCTGGGTTGGATGTTACTCTGACGAGACCCTCTCTCCCAGCTTTTCATTTCGATCCTGAAGGAAAGCATTGTGAGATGCAGAGATGCTACCTGATGTTTCATATGGACAGTTGGTATTGGCCCTGAGATCTGGAGTGGCTGGGCAGGGCAGAGGATTTGGGCTTCAAAAGAAAGCAAAGCAGCAAAGTAGACTAGAGAGGAGAGAATTAATATCATGAAATGGATTTGCATGGCGCCATCTTCGTATCTGAACTGGAGCTGTCAGGGGGAATGAGATCCAGACTCGCTGCTGTTCTCCAGAGAGGAGCTGTTATGGAATGATTGCCCAGTTAAAGTGATGGCTCCACCTCTGAGCCCTGTGTCTGGCTGATTTCTGTAGAAAACAGACACAATCTGGCATGATCCCTTCTCCTCTCCCACTGGCCTTTTGTGCCTTTCTGCAGGCTCTGCATTACCTTCTTCTGCTTGCCTTATTGCTTTCATCCCTTGAGCACCTGTTGGTGTCTTGCTCCCACCCTTACCTGCCCCTTAGCTCCATCACCTTGCCTTTTCCATCCTCAATCATTTCTGGCTCCCTCCCTTTGGAATAAGTGTCACTTTAACATTTATCCAGTAGGTGAACAGAGGTGTGCATGTTTGTTGCCTACAGCACAGAAAGGGTATGTGTGTGTTAAACACTTAATTACCTGTGTTTTATCACACACTACTGCATCCTCTGTTCTGGAACTTGTCTTTTGGGGACTCACAGAAGCTCTTCCTGGGCATGACTCTTCTCTGCTGTGCAGAGGAGCAAGAGGGGAAGATGCAGACCAACTCTATTGCTTCTTTCTTATTCTGCTGGAGATAGTCCTGTCCTCCTCCTGCCTTCCCATCAAAGCCCTTTTCTGGCCAGCCTAATGAAATGGAAAATAAGGAGGAAGATTTTGCCTTTAGACCTGACCTTGACAGAATCTTCAGGGTCACTGAGAGATGCTTCCCCTCATTTCCTTCAGGTGTACAGAAGGAGCTGGTCTTCACCCAAGCAGGAGGAAGTAAAACAAGGTTTCAGTCTTCTCAGATCCAGTATGTGGCTTATATATTTTGCTTGCTGTTTTCTGACAGGTTGACCAGCCTCGATCACAGTGCTAGAGACCTGAAGCAAGGATCCTGACCGATGCATATTCAGTACAGCCTGACTTCTTGAGGAGAACAAGTATTTCCCTGAAAGTCTGTTCCCTCAAAGCAGCACACAGGTAAGGCAGGCAGTGCTTCTGATTCTCAGGCTCACCTGCATTGGATTGAGAAAATTATTTTTCCCATTCATTTGGCTCAAGAGGGGCTTTGTCACCACTGCCTAACATGTCTATAGGGATGAAACCTTACAATGTATTTGCAGCATGGGGAATGTTTCTCAGCAAAAATGTACTTTTAGAGGATCAAGACTGCCCATATGGTTGAGATAAATATAGCTTAAAAGCGTGGGAGGAGTATGCTGAAAAAAGAAAAATATTACATACAAGGTATTGATAAAGCAATACTTAGATCTTGTGTTCTAAAATAATTTTTTATTGGAAATACCTTAATTTAAAGAGAGAACCTTTTAAGAAAAAGGAAAAAAAAAAAGAATGTATGTTGAGGAAAAGGGGTTTAGTAGGAAATTAATTTAATAATGTTGTTTTCAACTCAGAAAGATGTATCAGGTCATCCATAAGTGAAAAAAACCAAACACAAAAGCCTTGCAGTTCTAATTGCTATGACTCATGGAAACCAGATCTAGAAAAAACGAGGCCCTTTAGTCCAAACTCTTAATCCCCTACTAGTATGTAACATGGTTCCCAGCAGCGTCTACCAGTCCTGATTTAAATGATGGGATTTTCCCTTGTCCCCTTGGGATACTATTGCACAGACTAATAGAATTAATCTGCTTATTTCTCTTTCAACCCCTGACCGCTGCAGATGCAATTAGTAATAGGTGATGGGAGGATTCTGTGTCCTATGCTGTATTATGAAGGCTTAGGGCTGTATTGTGTTAAACCAGACATCAGCTGCAAGCATGTTTGCATGAGTGTGGCTTATCTGTCAGTACTCATTACAGCCCCATAAACGGCTCTGAACTGCATTTCTCAGACTTAGGAGCTTTTCTGCAATCGTAATTCAGGATCTGATAAGGCACAGACTAATGTATTTGAATGCCTGTGAGAAAGATAGTATGATTGGGAACTGAAGTGAAATGCAAAGTCATATGCTGCCAGTGCTAGAGACTCAAAGAGGCAATTTACTTTTGTGTTTCTGGAGCATTCTCTGGTCTCTTTGGCTTTTCTCCCAGACAATTTGGTAGGATGAAATACTTTTTTGCTGTGTGTGGTGCTGCTGGAGCACCTTTCCATCTGTGAATTGCAGGCTTGTCTTTGATAAATGGTGTGGGCTTCCTCTAATGCTTACCGAAAGACTCCGGTTAAATAATCAGATAAAATCAAATAAATTTGAGCTGGAAAATCATAGCTGATTTTATTTAGTTAATACAAAATAGAGCATCTTTCTGTGGCATTTCAGCTGTTTTGGTTTTTTTTTCTCAAATTTGGAAAAGTTTTATTAGGGAGAACAGTTAGTTTCTAAAGCAAATGAATTCCGGAATGCAGATGACCGGGTTACACCTGGAGCAGCTGGGCTGTACAGCTTCCTTGTGTGGACATATGGATTCATCCATTTCCAAAGTGAATTAAAAGCAACATCCTAATACAGAAAGCAACTGCAATATAATTGCTATTGGATGTTTGAATGAGGTTTCAATGTGAAATGGAGCCTGGGGGTCCTGAAAAACTGGTCATGTGCCAGCCTTGCACATGGGTTCTGTCCTCTGGCACTAAAGGAAGAAGTTACAATCCTGCTCCTCCCTCCTCTCAATAAATCCTGGCTCTAATATGCCATAGCTTTTATGGAATGTTTCTTCAAACAGAAAGCCTAAATACAATCTTAGCCACTGGTCCAGTCTTTCATTATCAAGATATGTTAATTAAGCTTACTTAAATTTTACTCAGTTGCCTGTATTTGTCAGATACAAAATTCTTAAACACTGAAGATGGCAAAGCTCTGATATGCTCAATGAGAACCTGTGCTAATTTTCTCATTGTTTTTAATCAGTTGAAACTCTTTTCCAGTTTGGTGCTTGGCTGCTTCGTGTGGTTTTGTAATGGCCTTTAAAGGATGGGGAGGTGGAGACTAAAGCCAGGGGTAATGATCCGTAGCACTCTGGATCATCTGCAGCTTATGTTCCCTGTCTCTGCTTTGCCAGGAAGCTTTATTCCAGTGAAAGTGTCAGTAAGCCCAAGGCAGATAGACACTGTTTCTCCTCTCCCTTTTGCTTTTTCTTTACCCTGAAAGTTTATCTTGCTGCTCGCTTTTTAAAGGCTTTGCATTAGCTGGGGGGCCGTGGAGTAAAAGGCATGCTTTAAACACAGATGCTGGTGATAGTCCTTTCAAAAGATGCATTTCTCAAGCTGGGAGCTATTGACCCCTTTCAGTGCAGTCACAAAGAAATCCAGGAGGAAATGGAGGGTGAGGGCCAGCAGGGAATATATATATATATAATTTTTTTCCCCCAAGTCTCCTTCTTACTCCACCCCCTGCCAAGCTGGCTATTGTTTGTGCCTCCACATGGGATACCAGTGGCCATATAAGGAAAATGGCATAATGTTGCATTCTTTCTAGAAATTGATTTCTTACAGTTGCTTTTTCTTCCCCCTTTGCTGAAAGTTGTTCTGTTTTGGTGCAAGCTCTAGGCAAAAGGAGAGTGGTAGCCCATGGTAAACGTGGTATAGCATCTTGGGCTGTGCAAAAGACTTTGTCTTTTTTATCTCAGTTCAGATGATGAGGCAAAGCAGTAAAATAGCAAATGATGAGGTCCAGCTACTATGACAGGAGGAGAGGATGTTGCATTTTCCTGCGTCTTGAATTCAGTAATAATGATTAATAATGATGTTTGTTTTCTCACCTCTTTTTTCTTGCTGGATAGAATGCTCAGGCCATGGGACAGAGGCAGAGAGCACATCTCTATGTCTGTTTCTTTTCACAATCTACTTTTTATTCATATTTGTTTGCAGCTGAAGTGCTGAGTGCATGGCATGCACCAGTTTGGGCCAGCAGCTTCCTCTGCTCTGTTGGAGACCCAGCCCATGGCTTAGGGGTGACCACAGCCCAGTTATCCCAGCAGGTGGATGAAATGTGTGAGGCTGTGAGCAAGCAGCAGTATTTCAGAGACTGAAGTTCTGTGGGTAGCAGGGGTCAGTCTAAACATGCACCAGCTCAGGAAAAAGATTCCCAAAGTCTGGGATTTTTTCCTGGTGCAACTGTCACTTGTTGATGAACAGAAACTGCCCAGGTTTTTGAAATATGTCTGGACTTCAAACACATCCACTTAGAAACTTCTACAAGGGAACAGCTGGAGCAACATGAGCACAAAAAGGCTGAATCCCCTGACTCCAGAAAGCAGAGGCAGAGCCTGGAGAGGGAAAAGCATAGGTCTGGGAGCTGGGAAAAGGATAACTCTTGGAGAGGAAGGAGTGTATGCTCGTGTATGTGAGCATAAGATTTGGGCACTCTTCCTTTTGTATCCTCTTGTAGCCTCTTGAATTGGGATGCAGGTTTTAGTTGTGCTTTCTATGCTTGCCATCACTTCTGATTCCTTGGGATGCTCTGCTGATTGTGCCCATAAAAATCTGTTCAACAACTGATAATGTCGCAAACTTGTTAAAAATTAAAGTAGAAAAAACCCAATTCCTTCTTAGAAAGAAAAAGCAACAAATTTTTAGGTCCATTTACCACAATCATGTCACAATACTCAATCTGTGTTATGCTGAGGTGCGATTACAGAAGTGGAAAAAGGGAAAGTACTTTCTGTGAACACATTTTTGGGCAGAATATTAATAGTTCGATATTATGATGATGATTATGTGTGTGTGCATTGACAATATACACTTTTTTCCTTATTAAAATGTTGAACAGTTTAACAGCTTTCAAAGAAACTGCAATTTTGTGAGACTGGAGTAAGGACTTTTTAAAGGCTCGGTGTTTTTTTATGTAAGCCTGTAAGTGGAGGTTGCATTGACCAAAAGAATCTGATATTGTATTAAGAAAGTTCTAATTTTCTTTAATTTTTCTTTGGACTGTGAATTAAATTGTTTGGAGAAGCTGTGCTGATCTCAAACATCTACAAAATTAGTCTCCGAGAGAATCTTCCTCTCTGATAAATTGTACTTATACTAGAGATAAAACTGGGGAAGCCTTCTGGGCTTTACTCTGGGCTTGAGCTGGCACCAGCATAGCAGGGGAATGGGCTCACATAGCTTTTTCTTCCTGAACAGTAATTTGGTGCTGCTAAATGCTGTCCACTGTGGTATCAAGGGGAGGGATCACGGCGAGTGGTGTGGAACGATGCGATGCCCCGCGCGCTCGGTTCTCACATTCCCAGCGAGGCGGAAAATGACTTTTGACAGGGACATGGCTGGCACGGGATGTCTGAGTTAGCACTGCACAGATAAATGGGATGCTCCTGGCCCAGCAGCCCTCGTGCCAGGCTCCCAGGCTGTGTGTTTTGGTCACAGCCTGCTCACGCTGTGGCTGTCCTGGGAGCTGCGGCGGGCGACGTTCGCTGTGTGCGCTAACAAGGGAGCGTCAAGGGCGAGTGCCAGCTCAGCACTGAGTCCTGAACTCCTTCTCTGAGGAGCAGTGCCTGCCATCTCAGCTGGGACAGCGGGAGGTTGCAGCTCTTCTGCTGCAGGAGGTGTGTAAGTGGCTGCTGACAATGTGGCACGTGTTTGCCACCTCTGTCTCTAATGGCTCCAGAGGACTCAAATGTCGCTAGAGCTGATTCTGCCAGCAGTGGATTGGCCTTTTCTGAGGTATTGCCCCAGGGACTTGGAGCTGATCCTTCTGATGCTAACTGTGGTGCATGTGGGGACTGGTTGGGGCTGTGCCTGGTTCCCTCTGAAGTTGGGTGCTTGTGTAACATGGAAAGGATCATGGTGGAGGAGGAAAGAAATTGTCATTAGAAAGATATCTCTAACGGTTCCTGTCACTTAGATCTAATGCTACAGAGTAATTTAAAGCTTTTTTGACTAATTCTATCATGGGTAAAGTGCTTTGTCAAGGGAAAATCAGGTTTACCCAATGTGACAGGACAGGAAAGCAGAGCTGCCTTTCACTGCTGTGCCACGTCCTGAGTGGAGTAGCTGAGATAGGGTGTCACTGAGAATGG